CAAGGACAGGAGCTGTCACAGGTGCAAAACCCAAGAGCCCCAGCCACCGCACACATTGCGCTTCGCCTCTGGCGCTGGCCTGGGGCTTCCTGCAGTTTCTCATTAATGACTTAGTATCACCCCCAAATTTCAGAATGAGGAATCCAAGGACCAGAGGAACTTTCACATCGACACACAAGCAGCAGGGTGGGACCTGAACCCTGGAATGTGAACGCCAGAGCCCACCCAGGCTCCTTCCACCAGACCACACCAAGTTTTCAAACGGAAGCCACCAGCAGATCCACAGAGGCCCTCAAATCAAAAGCTAGGATGTGGGCAGAGGGCAGAACACGGGGTAAGAAGGTCCCACGGCCAATATCCTGCCAGGCAGGCAAACTACTAAACCGATTCACCTCGCACAAACGAGGACCGGGCCGTGGACAGTCTTGAGACTCCCCAGGCATCTGGTCATTTGGAGCCAGTCCAAGATGGTGGCCTCCCTGGTGACGGGCAAGTCGGTCTCCTTGATTGAGGAGCAGAGTTCATCCCCGTCACTCTCCAGCGGCCGCGCCCCCAGCACCAGACCCATGCAGCTTGTGCCTCAGAGCTCATGAATAGAGACTGCTGTCAGCCAGATGATCCTTCCCCTCGATTAAAAATATTTCTGGACAATTTTCCTGCACACACGGGTAGGCAGCCTCGTGGGGAAGCCATTAGCTTCCCAGGGGCAAGCCTCTCCACGCCCAGGGAGCCAGCATGGGCTGACGGATTTGGATGCAGACAAGGGCTGAGAGGATCAAGAGGGAAAGCGAGGAAGGCAAGCTGCACTGACGGAGACAGCTGGAATGCCAACATTTTGCAGCTCTTTTTATTCCGGACCCAGGAGGAAACCCTAGTACGGCTGAATGATTAAAACCTCACACAGGTTCACGCGCTCAGGTAGCGCGTGCTGAATGAGAAGTTAGTCAAGTCCCAAGCTGGTTAAGTCTCCTATTTTAAATGTCTAGCATGGCTTTGAAGAGACCTTACAAAGAATCCCATCCATTTTTTTACTCCCAGATAATCAAGATTTACCCTCAAGCAGGCTTACCAGGCGCAAAGCCACGGCCGCCAAATCAGGGCTCATGCCACCCAACCCTGCACTCTTCCTCATTCCAGGTCACCCTCTGTCCTTTCACACTCAAAGAACCACCCACGCCCCCTCTGCATGCTCATTTTAAGGTTTTGATTATTACATAATAAAACATAGGGCCCCATGTTCCTGCAGCTGGGCCCCCACAACAACCAAAAGAAAATGACAACTGCAAACCAGCTACGTCCCAGGCACTGGGGATCGTGAGGCAGACTAAATAAAGTCTGTCTTTGAGGAGCATGAAGTGCCATTCCTGAGGACAGACAATGAGCGGACAATGTGTGGCCCACAACGTCAGAGAGGATCGGAGGGAGCAGGGACAGCAGCGTCCCAAGGCCGAGGTGGGACTTCTGCAGGCTTGTTCACCAGCTAACACCGGCACCCAGGAGGGAGTCGCTGACTGAAGGATGAACCCAAGAGCGCTGCTGTGCGGGACAGGGAGGTGACATGTAGGCAAACAGACAGACGTGGAAGCTAAATGGAGGTTATGGAGAACTGTCATCATGTTGAGAAATGACCAAAAATAAATGTGTGACAAACATTTTATGGCCTGTTTTCACAGAACACTCCACACCCAGCACTGTGAATGGCCCCAGGAAGCAGAGAGTAAATCACCCGGCTGCAGCAGTCCTTCTCAGGCCAGAAGATCTCACATGGGAGGAGCTCGGGACTCTCCATCCACAACCAACCACTGTTCCTGGAAACCCCACTGATAACATCATCAACTTGAAGGGACACCCAGTGTAGCTCACACGCATCTTATCTTTGAGTTCTCCCAACAATCCTGCAGGATGGGTAACAAAGGGCTTTGCCTGGGGCCACACACCAAACACAGGCCTGCATGATCGTGCTGTGTGTGGCTCAGGGTTCACAGACGCTGGCTAAATGCACCATCCTCATGTGACCCTGTAAAACAAGCAAGTCTAAACCACGTCTTAAAGGTGACTTAGTGGAGGAACTCCTGAAAACGTCTGCCTCCACGTCACACACCCGCATCACACTGAATAAACACACTCCATCCAGGGCCTGCTCTTCCTGTAAGTGCTCCAGGGCACCTGGTATTCAGATCACGGTCACTGGGCATCACTGACACCAGCACCACCACAGAGTCCAAGTGCGCGATTCTGTCCCTTGACCCAGCAAATACCAAGGCCACTGAGGCGTCTGGAAGGGCTTAAGTGGGCCCCTCAAGTTCTCCCCAGCTGTGTATTCTCGCCGCAGGTCTGTTCTGTCCACGTGGCACAACCTGGAACTTCACCCGCGCATTTGCAGAGCCCACGCTGCCCCTGCAGATTAACATCCACCTCCTCTTCCCAAGCAAGCATTCCCGCCCAATCCCAATATGAATGGCTCCTTAAAGTACTCTACGTGTAAAGGTCGGAATACATCCCAATTACTTTGATGATGAGTTTATATAAAAGGATTTTTTCCACTAATTCCCCAAAGAAAACGTCATGTATTTGCTTCATAAAAACCAACACACACACACACAAACACACACCCTACTTGTCATCTTCGGAAGGACTCGATTTGCTGACCATTTGACCACACTATCTATTCCCTAATAATTACTCGTCTCTGTCCCTCACAACTAGATGGTGGGCCCTAGGAGGCACACATCTAGAATCCTGGCAACTAGCGTAATAAGTGACCAGATTGCTGGGAGCAGAAGCAACGAAAGGATGAATGAACTGCGGACGAGTTGAGTGCGCCCCAGAGTGGCCTACCTACACTCCAATTCCGCCTCCGCTTAATCTGGGTAAAGCCAAACAAGCTTCAGCTTCTCCAAGTGGGACAGCCACCTCAATCCCCATTCCCAGCCTCCTGCAAAACAGTCATCTTTGATCTTGCACCAACCTAGATCTAAGAAGAATTTTAATTAGGCTCATCTGCATGACATAGAGCAAGCAGATGCTTCTAAACAAAACGTCATTTTTTTCAGAGTAACTTCTCCGATTTGGTCACACTTTCCATCTGAGCTCCTAAACCAACAGTGATTATAATTTGTGGACAAAAAATGTGCAAAAACTTCAAGGTTCACCAGGGCAAAGCATTCCTATTCTTGGAAACTGAAGTATATGCTTTTGTCAATCCACACACTTTCTTCTCTCAATAATACTTCAAGCCATCGTTCAGGGTAGCCCAAAATAAAGCAAGCACACAAAGCTGCTTACACCTCTTTTTTTATTATTAATACATTTTTAGTTGTAGATAGAGACAATACATTTATTTATTCATTCATTTATTCATTTACTCAGTCATTCATTCATTCTTACGTGGTGCTGAGGATTGAACCCAGTGCCTCACATGTGCGAGCCAAACGCTCGGCCACAGAGCCCCAATCCCAGCCCCACCTCTTTTCTTAATAACAAAAAATCTGTTCTGTGTTGTTTGTTATGGGCCTTTACATTGAAGCAGGAGCTAATGCACCCCAAGATCTTATACCTATGTATCAGCCTCACCCATCAATCATCATACCATCAAAACCGACTTCCCAACATCACACCCTCCAGTGAGGGCAAGGTTCCTCCACAAAGAAGGAAGGGAAAGGGAGAAAAATTGGAGCAGCAGAAGAAACCAGGAAAGGTGGTAAAGGGGAGATCAGCCTAAGAGTCTTTCCTGGTATCAAAAGGAGCTGGGCACAGGCTTTGGGATCACACTCTCAGTTACCTATCTGGCCACCACTGTTCTCCCCTACACCTTAGGAACACAGACTCAAGCACTATACCGTATGTTCAATCTGCCAGGCCCCGAGAACCATCTCCATCAGGCTGGACACCCTGCTGCAGAGAGCTGGCCAACTCAACTGGCAGGGTTGTTCCCCAAGGTGCGACCCCAGAGATGGCCATAAACCTTGGTGCACTTATTCAACGGTCACCCAGCACAACCACTGTGACAGCCCTGGGCGAGGGGCTAGGAGAGCAACTGGTGTCTCAGCAAGGAACTGAACCTGTACTTCTGCAGTCCAGGCCAGACTCTATCTTTGAGCCACCAAAGCACATGCCAGACGACTACAGTCCAAAGAACACCTACGCTCACTGCCTGGCCCACATCAGGTTCACTCAAGCACCGAGCACAGACCTGCAGCCTCACTGCTAAGATAGGCACATACAGTGAGCGCCTGAAGTACACGTCACCTCCTTTGTCCATATGAAGAGATTAAACTAAAAGGGGCCAACACACGCCCAGGAGCACAGAGCCACCGAACGGTCGACCCAGGCGTGAAATTCACAAGTGCCTCTCCAATGACAAAGTCCTTGTCCTATCCAATACACTCTCCTAAACAAACTACGTGGACCCTAACACATTCAACCAGGGACCCCTCTGCTGCCAGGCGCCCCGAGTCCTCTTTTTGCCTACTGGATGCATCCTTTGAGGCCCAGATCAAAATGCCACTCCTTTCCTCTGCCTCCCTCTCCTGGATTTAGCAGAATGTCTTGTACAGAGTAGTTGCTTAGTGAATGTTGACTACACTGAAAATACACATTTCTGCAAAAGGAAAACTACAGTACCTTTATTCTCAGAGGCATGAGCACTAAATCAGCTTCATTTTCGTGTATGTATGTAAACACTGGACTCAGTAAGTTTATGAGGAACTCAGTATCACACCATTGCTGGGCACACAGAAAAGGACAATGACTGACCAGAAAACCTCTCCCTGAAAACAGGGAAACAAAGAATTAATGTTTTACATGCATCAACCAAGATTCTGCACCATTATTACTTAATATCAATGAAATATCTTCCTGGTCATTGTTGAATTCAGAAAAACTGTTGCCTTAAAATATAAACACACGAGCTCATGTTTTTGCTTTGGAATGTGACTTTGCACTTATTCTGACATTTAAGTAAGTCTGTAAGGCCTCCTGTGAAGACCTGGACTGTGCTGTTCTAGGATATTGTCTGCTTTTCCACCCCGACTCCATTCCTTTCCACAAGCCACCCGTCAGCAGCACCCAAGGGAAAGGAACACAAGACCTGCTTCTCGGGGCTCTGAGGGCTTGGAAAAGTCCCTCAACCTCCATCAGCATCTTCTGTGGAAACGAGGACGTCACTATGGAGAGTGGCTGGCATAAACAGCGCTCAGTAACGTCTGGGGAGATGGAATTCACTTCTCCTTCCTTCTAAGAAACAGAGCCTCCATTTCCTCATTTATAAAATAAGGGAAATGGTACCTACAGCCCTGGGCTGTGATGGGATTGCTCCGCCACACCCGCGTCTGGCACATGGTAAGCTGCAGAAGGGCTGGTGTGCACTCGCTCTCTCCTCTCTCTCTCTCTCTCTCTCTCTCTCTCTCACACACACACACACACACACACACTTTCTGACAGAATTACGACTTGGCAGACTGCACCCTGCAGGTGAGTGCATGGTGGCAGCGGTGGCCACTCTGGCTGTGCTCTGCACTGAGGTGGCAACACCTACCCTCAGATCCCAACACCCGACACAAACTGTGCCTGCCCCCCCCCACAGGCCACCACGGCAAGGAGCAGTCGCAGCCTCAGAAGTGAAATGAATCCACACACCAACAAGGTAAAAGGGGAAGCCCATGTGCTCCTCTCGGCCGCTGCAGGAAAAGCCTCTGACGGAATCAAACACCCATTCATGACAAACCTCGGCGAACCCGCAGCAGAAGGGAACCTGCAGGGACAGCCACCTAGCCTGCGGCTAACACACACCCGAGGAGCAGACTGGTGGGGAGCCAGGCGGGGACACCCCTCTCTATACACCCGGGGTTTCTGCTATAGGCTCCAGGAGGGAGACCTTAGGGAAGGAAAGCTCGTGGGAAAGACACTCTGGGTGTCTTCCACGGAGGTGGCACAGCTGTCATCAGGACGCTGCTTTAGAAAGTGAAGGGGGCTGCAGCCCATTAGAGCCGGGGACAAGTAAAGGTCGTCGGGCTTATTTCGTGATTAAGGTTCTGCCTTAAGCTGACAAACCCCCGCGTGTTGGAACTGAAGCTGTCGGATACCCAGGGGCACCCCGAGCCTAGCTCTCTGGTCCCACAGATGAGGAAACGGAGGCTCCAGAAGGAGGAGACCACTGGCCTTGCCCAGGATAACACGCCGCTTTCTACTGAAGACCAGAAGGAGGCGAGTGTTTTAAAAATGGAACAAACACAAAGAAGTGGTATATAATCTAAAGCTGTCATTTATACACATAACCAGTAAACGGACCCACCTGCAAGGTCACCAAGTAGCCTGCCAGGATCGGCACCAGGTAGCGCAGAGCCCACGTCCACCCCAGCAGCGCTGTGGCTCCGCCCTACACTGACCACTCACTCAGTGGGTGGAGGGAGCCACAGCTGGCCACAGGACCCCGCGGAGCCAGAGGAGACCCAGAGCAACACCTTCAGAACAAGTGCAAGATGTGAAGGGACGGCTACGTCTCACCGGCCTTTCTCAAAACAACTGTTCTGCCAACCAAAGGAAGAAACCTGAGGCCCTGCTGACCGCAAGGTCCTCCACCTGACCAGCAGTGGTCCCAGGCCAGCCCTCCCACCAGAGAGCTGAGAGACCCAGCGGGCGCCTTCTAGACCCCGATGCACTTCATAAAGGAGAAACCCCTCTTCCAGCCTCCAGAGTCGGGGGCCCCCTTCAAACTTCTCCATTTCACTTACTTTTAAAAAGCAAAAGTCTGAAAGCAACATTAATCATCAAACATGTACAAACAAGGACTTCCTACCCTTTTCTAAAGCTTCCACCCACTCAAGCCCGAGGCGGGGGTTTTCCTGGATTCCCACCCGTTCCTCAGTCCCCACGGCCAAAAGGTCAGGCTTGTTCCTCTGCTGGTCTTTCCAAGCCGTCCCTGCTGACCCTGCCTGGCCTCTGCCTTGTCCGCCTGCCCATCTCCCCACCCTAACCCTGCGCCATCTCTGGGGGATCCTTCTCATACTGGGACCTTGCCCTGTCCCTGTCCCCGTGGCTCTGAAGGCCCCCTCAGCTCCAACAGGATGAAGTCTGAGCTCCTCTGCTTAGGAGAACATGAATCAAGAAGTCAATCAGAAGCAGCCAACGCCCTCTGAGAAAATAAACCGTTTCTCTGACACAGGAAAAGACAAAGGAAAACAAGGAAAAAATTAATTTTTAACTGTGATAGAAATAAACTTAGTTCCAAATTCTAAAGGCAGGATAATATTACAAAAAGAAAAGGTGAAATACATTGTGTGTCTCCCATACGCGCGCACACACACACACACAGAGTACACATACACACAAAGAACACAAATATGTGCACAACAATGGGGCAAGAGTTTGTTTTTTAATTTTTACCCATCTAAATTCCATTTAGCTCTCTAGTAAAAGACCTTCTTTTTTAAGTGTGTGTGGTGCTAGGGTTTGAACCCAGGACCTTGTGCATGCAAGGCAAGCACCCTACCAACTGAGCTATATCCCCAGCCCTGTAAAAAGTCTTCTTAATAAACACTGAATTAAGAATTTTTATGAAGTAAATTAAATTCAAGCTCTTCTGTCAGTACTAGGGAGCTTTCACCTCCCAGCCTGCCCTGGTACATGGAGCATCTTCATAACAAAGGTAAGATATTCAAATGTACCCCCCAAAAGAGCACATCTGGCTTCAGCGCAGAGCAAGGTTCAAGGGCAGAAAACAGTAATGCGAGCAAAGGTGCGAACACAGCAGGAGCTCCTCCTCCAACTCCAAAGGCCTCTGTGGACTTGGTACGTCCCTGGACCTACACTTCATAGCACCTGGTCACCTTTAAGTTTCGGTTAATGAAAATTTCCACCTCATCTTCCTCCTACCCAACAGAAAAAGAAACTCGGACCCACCAAGGCTGTCCCTGCTTCACCAGCAAACTGAGGCCCATGAGCACCTGGGGTGCAGGGAGACCCCTGGGGCCCCAGCCCCCCTCCATACCTGCCAACCTCCCACCCCTGGCCTCCCAACCTCAGGACTGATGACCCTTGGGGCAAGGCCACTCTTCCTGGCAAGGGCCCCCATAAGATGCACCGTAAGATGTTCAGCAACCTTCCTGGCCTCCACCCCCCAGATGCCAGGAGCACCCCTCGTCCCCCGCCATAACCATCAAACATGCCTCCAGACCTTGCCAGAGTCCCTCAGCTGACCAGACTGAGCACCCGAATCCCACTGCCCACACCATTCACCAGCCTCAACATCCAACCAAGGTCATGGGGTACCACTCTCATGGCAGCGTCTGGCTGGCTGCTTCTTCAATGTCCTCATCACAGTGAGGCCACAATGGCCACTTGGCCACCCAGGCCAGTCCACACCACTCTTCCCTGGTGCCCGCCGGCCTACAGCACAGCACCTCCCCCTCCCCTGTGCTTGCAGGACTCCAGTCCCCCCTCTGCTCCCTGTTATTTCTCGGATCCCTCCACACCCCAAGGCCCTAATGCAGGAGCCTCCCAGCCTGCCAAGGGCCTGGGGCTACACCAGGGACAAGCACAGCAGTGTGACTTAAACACCCGGCCTCTCCTGGAAGGAGCTGACGCCATGAGACTGAAACAAGAGCAAGCCGTGGGCAAATCAGAGCTATCCAAAGGACGGCCATGTTCTCCCTCATGCACAGTCTGCCTGGGAGGCAAAGCCATCTCGCTGCTCTCCTAGGTCTCAGAGCCACTCTGTCCTGGGCACCGGGCCCCTGCTCCACCACGGCTGCCCTGGTACATGGAGCACTGGCCATCTGTGTGGCTCAGAGGTGATCTTTGTCACTCAGGTCAAACTCCAGGCCCCATTTTTTTGTTTGTTTGTTTTAAACAATACAAACTAGACTATGGGGAGTATTCAGATTTTATCGGTTTTTTAATATTTTTTAGTTGTCCATGGACCTTTATTTTTATTTATTTATAGGTGGTGCTGAGAATCCATGGTTCCCTGCCTTCACGCCAAGAGGAAAATCCCAGAGGGCATGCGTCGGTCAAGGAGGTAAAACTGCAGGTGGAAACGTCCAGTGCCTCTGGAGCTGGGGGGAGTGGCCAGTGGAACTCAGAGCCCTCTCCCCCTGCACGCTCAGCACTCGCGGGCAGCTCCAGTCCACTCTGAAAGTCCTCTCCACACTTCCCCAAACAGGACGTGCTCCACCAGTGAGTCATGGAGAACGGGGTATTTCTAGAAATCCACTGGAAGGAAGGTGTGGGAGAGTCTCTGAAGGGAGAACAAAAAGACAACGTGGAAAGCTAATTACGAATCTGTAGGGCGGGAAGTGGGTTACTGGCCTCCCCCTGCAGCCAGCCCAGCTCGCCAGACTCCACCTGCCCCCACAGTCCAACAGCTGGACCCAACAAATGCACCCTCCTGCACCTCAGCTCCGTCCACCACTCAGCCCGCTGGATCCCCGTCCACAGAGGGCCCGCCATCCCCTCCCCAGTGCTCCCTGCTCCTCCTCCTGCCCCCAAGGGTCCAGGAAGGCCACTTACCACCATGGCCTTGGCCTCCCTCGGCCAGGCAGCTACAAGCACCCACACCATGAGACAGGGCCAGCTGATCCCCTTCCGGGTCCTCTTAGGAGTTCTCACACAGAGCCCGTCTCTGTGCAGCCTGAGAACCGGCTCCAATGCTGTACAACCGAAGGCCTTAGGAGGCCAGGTGTGGGAAAGTGTGCACTCAAGACCACCCTGAGGTCAGGCATGGAAAAGTGTACACTCAAGACCACCCTGAGGTGGAGTCAAGCTCTGCGACGTCCACTGTGTCCACTGCCTCCTCTCTAAACTCGAGGGTGACTGCACCTACCCACAAGGACACTACACACATTAAACACATTTAACGTCTGTGGAGCACCTTATGCCTGGCACACAATGAGCATGATATATGTGTTTGTTAAACAAACACAAGTAAATGAAACCAGGTATGGTGGCGCACGTCTGTAATCCCAGCTACCTAGGAGGCTGAGACAGGAGGATCCCAAGTTAAAGTCCAGCCTCAGCAACTTAAGAGAGATCCTGCCTCAATAAAAATGAAAAATAGGGCTAGGGGTGCTGGGGTTGTGGCTCAGTGGCAGAGCACTTGCCTAGCATGTGTGAGGCACTGGGTTCGATCCTCAGCACCGCATAAAAATAAAGGCATAGTGTCCATCTACAACTAAAAAAAAAAAATTTTTTTAATTAAAAATTTTTTAACTAGTACAAAAAAAAAGAAAGAAAGAAAAAGCAAGTAAATGAGCATACTTGACCAGAGCCACACTGGCATCAGCTGGGAAAGCCAGCGTCAGAGCAGAGGTCCGGCTGCTTCAGGGCCAGAGACGCCCTTCTCACTGCACAGCTAAGGGAGGACCGCAGCTCTGCGAGAAATGGGCAGAGCATGCTGGTCCCAGGCCACCATTCACACCTTACCAGCGTTACTGAAGCAGAAATCAGAAGAATTCATAAAAAGCTGCCTCTGAAAAGAAATTATACACACTACAGAGCTACCTGGGCCTACAAAGAAAAAGACAGACGAGCAGGAACACCTCTGATCAAGGTGACCCCAGAGTCTGTATTTAGAGACTGGGGACAGATTTCCACAAGACAGTACTAGGAACAGGGAAAGCTGGAGGGCAGAGCAGGCGCACTGCGACCTCCCTCCCCCAAGCCCCAGGTCAGCTGTCACATGGATGTCACTGTCACCACAGCCACCCACTGGGTCAGCCTCCCTGCCCCGCTGGATGACAGTCGGACGAGCCACTGTTTCAGAGCTGTGCCCTGAATCTGCTGTGGTCCCACCAGTGAAGAAATGAGCTCAGGCCCACCATGTCCGCCCCTCCTAATGGCAGCAGCTTGGAGCTACGAGGACTCTGTGGAGCCCAGCTGGTGACGGATGGGGAACAGCGCTGCAGCTGGCCACGTGTCCAACCTAGGACGTCTGACTCCAGAGGGCCAAGGCCACCCTTTCTGCATAGGATGGGACTGAGACTCAGTTCTTGAGGGGGCTACACCAACTCAACTTTTAAACTGCTGTCCTCTTAGGACCAAGGCCCTGGGGTCTCAAAGAAGCAGTGACAACGCAACCCCCAGGAATGAACGCGGCCTTTCACTCCCACCTTTCAAGCCGTGTTTGCCGGCCAGCTTGATGCCCCTGACAGACATGTGGGGAGCATGTGTGGGGTGCCAGGCACAATTCAAGGTGCTGGAGACGCATCACTCAATGAGGTGAAAGTCCCGGCCCCCGTGCAGTTGATGATCCAATAGGATGGAGGCAAGACAGAAAATAAAAGCATGCCAAATAAATGATGCACCGTGGGAGGAGGTGTGATGTGTGAGGGAACGGCAGGGCCGGAGCCGGCAGGAGGGGCCGGCAGGGGAAGGGCAGGTCAGAAGGAAGGGAGAGAGCCAGGCAGATGACCAGCAGAAAAGAAGTTATCCAACAGACAGGGCTTGAGAGGGGCAGGGGTGGGATCAGGCAGGGCCGGGGGCCAGAGTCTGGTCACTGCCCAGAAGGTCAGGAGTGCCAAGTTCAAAGTCAAACCTTTGCACCAGGGCAGTGGCTGTTGAATAATCCAGGTGACAAATGACAGCTGTAGAATGGAGAGAAGGGCCATGTCAAGAGACCGAAGCAGCAGAACAATCCACGGGATGAGAGAAGCAACACGCGGCTCCAGATACCACTGCCCAAAGGGTGGGCATCAGCCGGGGGAGGCTCAGGCAGGGCTGGGAAAGGCACCAAACCCTCCAGGTGCAAAGGAGAGGAAGGCGAGGCAGGAGGGTTCCAACCAGATAATGAGCATGGGGACTGAGTGTGGACACCAGGGACACCCAAAGGCATGGTGGACAGCGGCCTGCCTCTTGGTAAACCAACAAGCAAGGACAGAGCCCTCCAGCAGTGTGGCCAGGGCAGGTGTCCAGGCATCTGAACGGAGGCTGGGCAGAGCTGGCCTCAAGAGGCCACGTGTATAACACAGAGCAAGCATTCCCTGGCAATCCACCAAGCAGGTGGCGGGTACTGTGTCCCAACACAAACCAAGCCTTTTCAAAGCCCAAGCGGTCACCACCGCACAAGACGCTCACTAAAACTGGGGCTTCAAACAGAGAGGTGACCTGACAGGAGCCCCAGAGCAAGTCCCTCTTGACTGAGGTCAGAGAAAGAAGGTAGAACCAGAATCCCAGTGGGGAGCCAACGGAACCGTCACCTGCTCCCTGGAGGGGACAAGGTCCTGGTCAGGGAGGGAGGAAGGAGACGGATCCTGACAAACCCTTCCAGCAGACAGAACTGCCCACCACTGCCTTCCTCTCCCTCCCATCCCACTGCAAGAAGCAATTCCTCCTGCCCAGACTGGCACAAGAAGGGGAAGGAAGTGGCTTGGGGAAAGTGACGACCCAGAACCACAAACCAGCCCAGCGGGCACGGCCACCACCCTGCCGGGGGGGGGCGGCGGGATTTGTGCTGCCAGAAGGTAAGAAGCGGCCGTGCCCTGCCGTGGAGGGAGCCAGGGGCCTCCCACACCCGTGGCCCGTGCTGGGTGTGGACAGCACAGCCTGCCCCAGCTGGCTGCCTCTGAGCA